GCCCGCCGCCCCCTCCAGCCCCGGCCCTGGCCTGTGTCGGCTTGGAGAGCGGCTTCCAAGGGGAACAAAGGGCCCTTAAGTGCTTCCCGCACCCCCCAGCCGGGGCTGCAGCCAAATGTCAAGCTGTTTACATCCCACGGGGCCAGCTCCCTGGGGCTCCGACAGGCCCGGCCCTGGGGTGCCCCCCCCTCACCCCCGTGCCCATGGCAACCGCGGGCCAGGCCTACTCACTGCACAGGAAGCAGGATTTGTGGAAGCTGCTGCCTTCGCACTGCACCTCCTCGGCGAAGTACACCGTCTTCTGGCAGACCCCGCACTTCTTGCCTCCTCCCCAGTTGGGCATCGTGAACCTGGGCACAGAGACGGGCCTGAACCCCCAGGACCAGGGCACGCAGGCTGCCCGGGACAGACAGGCCCAGGAGAGACAGGAGAGAAGGCCGGCCCTGGCCGGTGTGCCCAGTGGTTAGGGCGTCGGCCTGCGGACCTTTTTCTTGGTGGCGACCCCCAACTTTCAGCCACAAAGCGTGGCCCGGCCTAACCTAACCATCCCTGGCTCCTGGCTCTCGGATGGACCAGGTTACACTGTATTTAGGGCAGTGATACAGAAGAAGGGAGCTGTGGGGGCTCAGAAGAAAGAAATAACCTGATTTTCTGAGAGAACCTTCTGGAAGCAGCCCCCCCCCTCCCCCCAGTGAGGAGAGGGGAGCAAGGGACTCTGGGTCGTTGTCCCCAGAGGGGCAGGCAGGCCCGGGAGGCGGCCGACAGCTGGGAACACAGAGCTGAGAGACAAAGAAACCCCAGTGTGTGGTGACCTCATCAAGCCACCAAACTCAGCCAAACCCTCTCTGCATTTTCCAGTTAAAGAAACCAACAAAAAAGAGAAAAGAAAAAAAAACAAATTCCCTTTACTGTTGAGCCAGTTCCTTTATGACCGAACACATCCCCAGGGACAGGGATTCCTAGGACGCAGCTTCTGGAATCTCTGTCTTAATCCACCCCCCCCACGGCTGCCTCAGCTCTACAACCATCAGTGGCTCCCTAGTGCCTGAGAACATCAAGCCCCCACCTCCCCCTTGAGGATCCCCCATAGCACAGCCTCCACTCACTTTCTAGCTCCATCACCTGTTCCTGCGCCTCACCCACTGGTGGTTTATTTTTTAATATTTGTGTTGATTTCCGAGAGGAAGGGAGAGGGAGAGAGAGAGAAACATCCATGATGAGACAGAATCATGGATCGGCTGCCTCCTGCAGGCCCCACACTGGGGATTGAGCCCGCAACCCTGACCGGGAATCGAACCGTGACCTCCTGGTTCATAGGTCGATGCTCAACCACTGAGCCCCACCGGCCGGGCTCACCCCCTTGGTGACTGAATCACTGAGTCAGCCCTTCAGTGCCCAGGGCAGGGCCTGGCCGGAGGAAGTGGTGGGTCAGGCCTGTGCAGAGCTAGGGGGGCTGCACGAAGCGGGGTGGGGGGGCTGGAGCTGGGGCCGCCATCCCTTCCCTCGCAGCTGTGACGGGTTACTGACCACTGCGTGCGGCCAGCTCCCCCAGCCAGGTCTGGATTGGCCACACTGACGCACGTCCCAGACACACCCGCAGGTAGGGTTTCCCCGACGGCACCTGACCATGCACCGTCCTCGGACCCCTCCTGGGGCCTGAGCTCCCTCATCCCCGGGGACAGCCCACAGGCCCCACAGTCCATCCCGCCCTTCCTGCCCTGGGGACTCCAGGGGCCCAGCTGCCTGGTTCAGCGAGAGTTCAGGGCTGCTGCCCGCCCGGCGAGGCTCAGGGGTTGAGCATCGGCCTAGGAACCAGGAGGTCCCAGGTTCGATTCCCGGTCAGGGCACAGGCCCGGGTTGTGGGCTCGATCCCCAGTGTGGGGCGTGCAGGAGGCAGCCGATCCATGATTCCCTCTCATCATGGATGTTTCTCTCTTCCTCTCTCTCCCTCTCCTTTCCTCTCTGACATCAATAAAAATATTTTTTTAAAAAGAGAAACCATCTCAGAGGTGGATGGTCCTTCAGTGCCTGGAGCAGACCCTCCTCTGCTCAAACCAGTCACGCGACACCCGGCTCCATCCTCCATCCGTGGCTCCGTGTCCAGTGGAAAAACCCCACCGCTCCCCAGGGCCACGACGTCTGGGCAGAGCCCAGGTCCCCACCCTCCCACCCACGCACGCGGTCCGGTCGGGACCTGCCAGGTGTTTGCGGAGTCGGAGACCTGCTCTCACGTTCCCTGAGCCCTGTGGTATCCGGCCAGGTACACGGGACCCAGCCCTTCCCGCAGGCCCCGGGTCAGGAGGGCAGCCAAGGAGAGGGAGGCGGGAGGAGGGGCCAAGGGCTCAGGGCCCAGGGCCCGTGTCTTGGAGGTGGCGCCGTCCGGCCCAGGAAGAGACCTCGCTGGAAAGGCATGGTCGCTGGCAGGGGACTCGTGGCCGACGTGGAGACCCCGGCTCAGCCTCCCCCTCATCTCAGGAGGACTCCTTATTTCCTTGTATATAGGGTGTCCCAAAATTCACGCAAGATTTGAGTTTTGCGTGAGCATTAACAACAACAACAAAAAATAAAAGCCTAATTTGACTTGGTTGATTGAATCAGATTCTAATATCTGTGGCCCTTTGATTTCAATCCCTTCCATTTGATAAGCATGACCAAGTACCAATGATGGCCCAGGAGCAGGGACAAGGAAGACCAATGAAGACCACGGCTTCGCGTCTGTGCCAGCAAAGCCGTGGAGGCCATTGACCCGATGTGCTATTCCACACATAACCCTATGCTGTGTACTTGATGAATCAATAAAAAATTTACAATTTTTAATTATAAACCTGTGTTTTCTATCAAAATTACTTCTTGCATAAATTTTGGGACACCCTTTATATTTGTATTGATTTTAGAGAGGAAGGGAGAGGGAGAGAGAGATACATCCATGCTGAGAGAGAATCATGGACCGGCTGCCTCCTGCACGCCCCCTACTGGGGATCGAGCCTGCAACCCAGGCATGTGCCCTGACCGGGAATCGAACCCTGACCTCCTGGTTCCTGGGTCAAGGCTCAAGGGCTGAGCCTCACCCGGCCGGGCTCACTAGGATTGCTTCGGAGCCCTGAACTCGAGTCTCTTCCCCAAGCAGGGAGCCGGCCTCATCCCAGGCCCGTGGCCCCCAGCTCTGCCGGCCCCCCAACGCCTGGCACCGCTCAGCTCTGCCCCCTGGGAGCTCAGAAATCTGAAGGTCGCCCGAGGTAGACGCTGGGGCCTGCGGTGTCAGAATCCCAAGACCCTTACAGGAAACCCTGCAGCATCATGCGTCTCCCGGAGGAATCGACGGATCAAGTTTCTTTGCTTTTCTCTGGAATGATGCCAACATCGAGGGGTAACCATCGGTTGATCCCGTGCTGACAGGTCTGAATGATTTCCCTTTAATTCCTTTTTAAAAACAAGCTACCGCCCAGCTGGCCCGGCTCAGCCGTTGAGCGTCGACCTGTGAACCAGGAGGTCACGGTTCGATTCCCGGTCAGGGCCCATGCCCGGGTGGGGGGCTCGATCCCCAGTGTGGGGTGTGCAGGAGGCGGCTGATCCATGATTCCCTCTCATCATGGATGTTTCTCTCTCTCTCCCCCTCTCTCTTCCTCTCTGGAATCAATAAAAATATACTTAAAAATTAAAAATAAATAAAACAAGTTAGCACTCTTCTCTTATTAAATAAAAAATAAGAAAGGGTGTTTGCAGCTCCGTCCGGGACGTCCCAGGTAACGAACGCGGGCGGGCACCCTGGGCAGGGGGCTCTGGCTGCCCGGGGGCTGGGCCGCTCCCCCTGCGAACCCCCCGGGAGGCCTGGAGGACTGACTCCGTGCAGCCTTCCTGGGGAAGCTCTGGAAATGCCAGAGCCGGGACGGCGGCCGCCTCCGCCTCCGTATTTGCACACTTTACCATACATGGGAATCCCTGGGCGCTGACGTCAGACGGATTCCTGGGAAGCAACGTCTGCAGCCAGGCGTCACCATGGCGATGACTGACACCTGGGAGCCCCAGGCTCCTTCTGTCAGCAGGACCCCGGCCCTCCCCGCCCCCACAGCTCCTGTGTGTGTGTGTGTGTGTGTGTGAGCCTGTGCGTGCCTTCCCTCAAGCGGACTCTGTTCCCGCAAACGTGGCCCCCAAATTCAAACACACATCAGACCTGACGAAACGTACCCACGGGGCCGGGCCAGTGTGGCTCAGTGGTTGAGCATCCACCTAGGAACCAGGAGGTCAGGGTTCGGTTCCCGGTCAGGGCACACGCCCGGGTTTGCGGGCTCGATCCCCAGTGTTGGGCGTGCAGGAGGCAGCCGGTCCGTGATTCTCTCATCATGGATGTTTCTCCCTCTCTCCCTCTCCTTTCCTCTGAGATCAATAAAAACATATATATATTTTTTAAATGCCGTTTCCCCTCACCTGGGGCTCACACTGCTCCTGGGAAAAGCTGGCTGGTGACTGTCTGCAAGGTTTGCACGTGTCCCAGTTCCTCCGCCACCAGCCATGCCTACCCCGTTCCCCGCCCACCTGTTTCACGGCTGAATATTTAGTGATCGCCACCCCAGGGTCAGCGAGGAGCTCCCAGCCTGCAGCTCCGGCCGGAACCCTGGCTCCCGAGACAGACGCTTGCCATTAAGAAAGAAAACACGGGGGCCAGGAAGGAAGGGG